CCACAGTAAGTGGCCAGAATATGGTCCGCAGACTATGTTTTGGTTAAAGTTAGATAATTAACGTATCTGATCTGCAGTCTGGCAGAAATTTAAAGGGCAGGGAGCGATTCCCAGACCTTCTGGACCAATGTACGACTGCTACACATTCTTACACATCTGCTGTATTCAGTGGCTATTAATACTGTCTACAAGTACAGAGTAAACAAAAGCTGTGGAAAACCTAGTGATCTGTGATTAAAAACCCACTTATCTGGTTACAATAAGACAGATTCTATTCATGGTATGACGGGGTAATGATCAACTGAGACTTACTAGGTGCTGTGAGGACACAGAGACACAAGAAAAATGCACTAACAGCAGCCTTTCTCCTTAACATTCGTGGGCTAATGCAACCCACAGGGTAACCCGCAGAACAGAAAGCGTGCCTCAAAGTCTGCTCCCCATATACTAGGTAACAGTGCAAAGGATATTACATCATATAGCACAGAAACTTGGGAGAATTATCAAGAGGCTATTACCTAAACACTGAATCTTTTTAACGACTGCCTTTGATAAGTGACAGGAAAAAAGTATCATGAATAAGGATAAAACAAAAACAGGATTAGAACCACTGTCGTGAGAATGGAGATGCTGGGACGCGCGTTTTGCTCAGTCCAGTTTTACAACGCACGTTTCACAGAGGAATGGAAAAGGTTCTTTGGGGACTTAAAAAAAAAATCATGAAAAGCAAGGTGGCCAATAAGTACAGACATATTTACAGAAACATGCTATTTTACCTACAAACATCCCTACCTACTTCATTACACAGATCTCTAGTAATAAACTTACTCATCTTCTGCCACTAACTTAAATAAAATATCACTCCATCATGGGCAGCTGCAACGTCGTTAGTGTTATAAATCACTATTTAGAGTATCAGTCTCTGATGAGCCATCTAATACTCAGACTTGGACCCACAGAGGTTCTAAATCAGGTACTAAGGTTAGTTTGTGCGACTATCCATCCCCTTTAGTAACCTCCTCAGGCCCAAAGCTTGCTCTAAGACAAGCAGAAATCAACAACACAGACACGGGAAGTGTCCTGGAAACTTTACTACTGGCACGTTATACGCCTACGAACTTCAAATGTCTAAAGGACGGAGCGTGGGAACCTTTGAAGATAATGCTTTTACATTTCAAGGCATAAATCCTATTTAAGTCCTGAGTCCTCTGAGGATTTGAGCCTCAAAGTTTAAATGTATGTAAAATGAAGAGGAAGTGAAGAAAAAAGGTCCCGTTATTGAGCAGTAATATATTTAGGTACAACATCAGTGACGCAGCCATATCAATTACGAGCCACTGAAATTGGAACTCAGCTATTACCAGAAAATATTAATATTTTTTCTAGAAGTATAATACAGTATCCTCTGACAACAAAAGACTTTCTTTTTACTACAACTCTATATAGCACACATTTTAAATAATGACTGACACATCAAGCAGGTTTTGCAAGGACACTAAAAAATTTCCTATTTCCAGGAACCGGATATAAGACATGTTCCTCCCTTCTGATTTTCAAAAAATAATAAACATATACAGTATTACAGAATAATGCATCAACACCCAAATTAAGATCTGACACTACCACATATAAATACGAAACTTACTGAGTTTAAATTGTAATTGTTTCCCTGAAACAAATAATCTAGGAGTGCATTTATTCATAAAAGCTAATTCTTACAGTTATTGGAAAATGATTTGCTTCAGATAGACGTTTAATCAGGGTAAAAAAGCACAGGATGTTTTTGACAGAGTCCAGTATAAACTAAAACTGCTTTCTTTGGATTACACTTTCAGTAAAGCACTTGAAGAATTTTATTGGATGTTTAGAGTAAAAATTCAGCCTTAGACTTTTGAATGACCACCAGAAAATGAAAACTGGCAGTTAATAAGACCATTAAGAACTATGCGATGCATTACTGTATCTCCACAACTCTCAAATTATGATCTATTTGAAGAATTAAGATGAATTAGTCTAATGGAGAGCAGGAGAAGACAGAAGTAAGTTGAAAACTTAGCTACATGTATACTGATTTGAAGCCTCCCCCTGATTCTTTCAATATAGGCTTTTAAACAATTAGGCATTCTCTCTCTCATTTTTTAGAAGTGCATACTTTGTTGAAACTGAGTGGCATATCTGCATCACTGAAATGGGTTAGTATTAGAGTGAAACTGCAGCATTTATTATCAGAGAAAATTTGAAACATAAAAAACCAAATATAACTATTGATTCAGTGGTTGCGTTTCATTCAACATACTGCTGCTTTGTGAAAAAATGTCCGTTGCTGTATAAGACCTAAAGCCAACCCGCATTTTATTTACAGATAGTGCTTGATAAAGAGTATTATTACCGTTGATTCCTCACCACCCGTGACAGTTGAAGAACGAGCTCTCCTAGATGGACCACTCTGCTGTTAAATGATAATTAATGTTACAGTAAGTATATTTAGTGATGAAGGTCACAGATTACTCTCGCATCTTTAGGAATAAAGAATCATAGACACTCTCAAGCTTATTCATGGAGAGCAATTAGACTGAAATAAAGTTAATGCAAAAGCAACAGCAAAAAAAGGACAACATCAATCAGTGATGACCCAGTCAGAATTTCGCACACAAAACATTGAGGGAACTGATTTCAGGAGTTCTAGTATCCAATTCTCTATGCTCACTATCGCTAAGGATAATATCAAGAACACTTACTCGATGTCTAACATGATAAAGTTTTTCTTTTTTTTTTTTTGGAGGCACAAACAAATTTTGCATGTTCCCACTGATAAACAAATGCAGATAAATTCTGGTCATCAATGAGTACAGAGAAAAAGTCAGATTAAAAAGTGGATTTCAAACGGTATTTCAAATTTTCAGAGGGGATTAATAAAGTCAAGAACAGCACTTTATTTAGAAAGAAAGAACGAGCTCAGTTGCTAGAAGATAAAGTACCATTAGTTCAGTAAAGACTAAAAATTGGTCAGATCAGTTAACATCCTGGTTTTAGAGAAACGCTTTCAATTCTGCTGTTTCAAACATCTGCTAATGAAATAAATTTTCTACAACAATAAAGTGAAAAACATATCATAAGCAAGCTCAATCTGATTACAGCAGTTAAAGAAGCCGAGAGTCCATAAGCTAGTTTTAAGCAAAGAAGGAGAACACCCCTGGAACAGACGGCAATAGAGCAACTTCGGCTAGAGAGAGAAGACAGTTTAGGAGTAATCGTGCTGGAAACCACTGTATTTTTTACCCAGAAAAGAAAGCAGAGAGATGGATAATACTTCAGAAGCGCCATTTTGAACAACAGCTATTACCTGTTACTATCTGCAAAGCAGTAAATCTAGATACACTAAGCAACTTCTAAAATACATGAAAAATCAACAAAAACAAAGAGAAAAGTAGTATGGTTGTTGTAAACGCCTGCCCAATAACAACAACAAGCAAATGAAGGAGGGACATCACCTTTAGTAATGCACTTACTAATACATTCTACTTACTCAATATCTCCACAGTAAATTTGCATAATCTTTTCTGTTTGTGGTTTCATATGTAAAGTATTCCTAATAAAAATTGGGGGGTAAAAAAAAAGCCTGGAAGAAGTTCTCCAAAAAAATATTGAATTGTTTCGAAACACTCTGACTAATCTTATTCAAAAGCAGATCTTGTACAATTCTGCCGTCTCTCTATAGCTCACCACCTTTGCAATCCTCATACTTGGGTTGTAGGAAAAAAAATATAGAAATTGCTATCTACCTGTTAGAGTGAAGAGGTGCATGGTTATGGTGTGAAAGGCACCGTCACTTTTTTGAAAGATATCTTAGCATCTTTTCCTGTTTAGTGGATCTACTTAACTTCTTAAATAAATTTGGAAAAGAAAGCTGCTTACTTAAATCACTCAGCTCAGAAAACTACAACAGATAGCATTTTATTGAGTTCTATTGTTCAGGAACTATCACAAAAAGGATCGTTATAACTAATTAGGTAAAACATCAATCCGTTTTAATGTTCACAGTACTTTTCCTACACCATATTAGTAATTCTGTTCACACTTGGGAGTGTCTACTCCCAAAACCGTCTGCGAGTGTCTAATATTCCCACTTTTTATTTATAGGCTCATATATTCCAAAAAAATGTAAACTGATTAATTTACAGAACACAAAAATCTACCTGATAGGAAAGCCCTGTGGTTGCAACAGTTCCAAGAATAGATGGTGTTCCTGCACTCTCCTACTCCAGCTGCAATATTTTAATCAAAAAGCCTAACTAGGCTACTGCTCGGAAACCTCCCTTGGAGGATTTGCTCTCCCTGCTGACTACGAGGAGTCGGGTAAGCAAACTTTCTGCGTTAGACAGCTAAAGTTAGACAGTGCTAACAGGCTATGCTCACAGTCTAAAAATTTTTTCTGTCTTATAGATTTCACCTTTTGACTTGCTGATCATGATGCTATGAATTTGGTATCCATTACTATTTGGGAAAGTCAAATGTCCGTACTAGTACCTGATCTAGATCTGAATTCATAGCCAAAGGAAAAGATGCCATTCAGAACCAGAAAATATTCAAACAAAAACAAGAAATAAAAGTTAGCTTTGATTTACCAAGGATAACTGAGACTGTTCAGCAACTGTATCCGTTACACTGCAAGATCTTAGTCTTGAAGAAGGATCTCTTTGCTGGAAAAGAGAAAGAAAGATGTCTTTAAATTACATTGTCACAAAACACATACAGATTTTTTTCAGTAATTTTACTTTTCTTACTTTGAATCCAAATCCAAATTAACCATTAGGGTTAGAATTCTATATGGTAAAAACGTGTATAAATATCAGAGGGGGGGGGAATAAAAGAGACAGAATCAGACTGTTCTCAGTGGCGCACAGTGACAGGACGAGAGGCAATGGGCACAGACTGAAACACGGGAAATTCCACTTGAACTTAAAGAAACACTTCTGCACTGTGAGGGTGGCTGGACACTGAAACAAGCTGCCCAGGGAGGTTATGGTGTCTCCATCCTTGGAGATATTCAAAACCCACCTGGATGCAGTCCTGGGCAACCTCCTCTGGTTGACCCTGCCGGAGCAGGGGCTGGACCTCCAGAGGTTCCTTCCAACCCCAACAATTTTGGGACTGTGACTGCCTAATTTTGAAATATCTCCATAGATCGTGCCAGTTTCACAAGACATCTGGAAGACGTTAAGGCATGGCCTGAACAATCGTTTTTTGTTACCCTCATGAGAAATCCCATAAAACGGGGAAAAAAACCCACAGCATTTAAAAAGCCTTTTCCTTGAAAATGCCTTCTCTCTTGCTGGCATCAACAACCCAGCCTCCCAGGAACAGCCTTGTAACTTGCTACATTTGCCGTATTTCACATACCAAACCCTTGTTTCAGACGAGCACGCACCTTCAGAAGGCCCCGTACTTAAATAATATCCCAGATAACCTTGGAACTACCAGGCAGTGGCTATGGAGGATCAGAGACCACAGGAGCTTCTGTGGGAAGGTGACCTTGGGTAAACTGTACACTTCCTCTGACGCTACTTGCACTGCTGCTAAATCACCTTTTGGTGAAGAAACTGCGATGGGGGCTCAACTTTCTCTTTCCTTTTGGATAGGAATGGTGAGGATGATGGGAAGTTTATTTGGGGTTGTGGTGTTGTATTAGAGATACCACGTGAATCACATGCACTGAAATATGACAAATTTAGCTGGTGTTTGCTTGATTTCTGAATACCCTGCTCCATTGCTTTTCTGTGTGGTTTGACGGAGGTTGCAAGTTCCACACACAGAAACAGGCCTTGGGTAATTCTTAAACATATCATTTTGCGTAACTGATACCTCATTTTTAATCAAACCTCATTTTTACTCTTTCCTGGACATAAACAGTATGAATAAGAATGCTCTAATAAGCAAGTAAATGACCCAGCCCATTTATAACAACTCACATGGGCGCTCCTATGCACCACGGAGAGACAGGGAAGCAACACCATGAAGCAAACTATTTAAGAGGCATATACAAGAACCGCCAGCTCTTATTCAAAAGTATCATCAGTCTTAAAAGCACACTCTACTAAAAGATCAGAGGGTTAAAAAAAACCATATTGTTTCTCCGTTAGGCTAAAGATTAATGTGACAGGATTTGTCTGACAAATGCAGTGACCAGCAGTCTGAAGTGCATTCTGGCATTACAAAGATATATAAGAGTGATAAAGTAACTTTTTCACGCACATAAAATCGCCTCTGAACTATCTGTTGGCAATTTAGCTGTGTCATAAATTAATGAATGCATGGATAACACCGACGCTGTCTCTGCACAAAACCGTCAAAGGTCAGTCTGGATATATTAACATGGGCACGCTGTCGGGGAAACGCAACTGTAAGTTAGACAGCTAACAGTCAGATGTTCTCTCAGATGTTCTGAGCTGTTCTGTTCAGCTCAGAACATCTGAGAGAGCTTCATGCAGAGCCAGTCTAGCATTGATTGGCTAGAACACCTTGTGTTCAGCTGGTACTGCCAAGCTTTTCCTACCTACCCAAATGAAGTTCTTGGACTGTGCTTGCCAACCTCTGAGTTAGGAAGATGTATTAGCCCAGGGCAAGCACTGTTCATTCACATGGAACCAGCTCAGATTTAAGTGCTGGATCAGGCTAATGAGCCCTCACAGCAGCCAGGCTCTGGGAAGCACAGTTCAGAGACAGGACTCGTATGACAGATGAGCTGGGGCTAAACACTGCTGACCCACTAAGTCTTCATTTGCAATCTTCTGAGTGTCTTGGCATGGCACCTTACAGTAACTTCATTATGTGTTTTTTTTCTCATTATTTGCAGTATCCCAAACCTCTGCTACTCTGGATAATGTACAGTAATAGGGATTTTAAATGCTTTGGCATTGACTTGGGCAGTTCCTTACTTTGCAAGTTTGGTCTGTAATTTTTATTGCACTGGTATGTTATCACTTAATGATTCATAGAACAGCTAGTTCGTACATGAATATAATTACTGAATTATTTTAATTAAGATAATTGTGTAGATATACTATTTATCTTTTATTCTCAATGTAAAAAAATGTAGATCCTGATCTTGCCACTGGCCACTGATCCTATGTGATTAGCCTCCTGCCCTCCAAGTGAAGGCCTACAGAAATCTGTAGTTATCTACAAAGACGCAAATGTCTCTTTACGCAGATGGTTAGCCATCAGAGCTATAATTTGCTGAACTAGCCTCTAGATGACATTCAAATCATTGCAAGACATCTACTGCATAAGTTCTTTGCAGAAAAGGATCAGCATTAGCACTTTTTCCTCTTTCCTTTGGAAAAGTCCTAGCTTGATACTCTCTAGTGATATATTTTGTTTCACCTCAGGTATAACTGGCGCGGACTCCGAAGTTAAACCCATACAGAAGAAAATATTAAACCCGAATTGAGGAAGTCTAATTGTTCTTTAAGGCAGTTTGTTCTATGGTAAAATTCAGATGCTTTTTTTGAAGACAGGTTTAACTTGTGTGCTTGGGTTTTCCTAAGCCCACTGTCCATGTAAATGATTCAGATTATGTCAAGCTAACAGAAGATTATAGCAATGGAGGATTATATGGAAAGCAGAGCATGTCACGTACAATCAAAGAACTGAGTTGTTCCCCATTGGAATCAGGAGTGACCTGAAGTCTTCTGTTCAGCTCCTCAGACAGCTCTTGAGGACTGGTTCGGGACACTGGGGACGCAGGAGGTGGCGGCAGTGACAAGCTTAAGGAATCTCCGCTTGCACTTGCCTCCTCTGAAATGGTTTCCCAAGGCTGTCAAAAGAGGAAAAAAAACTGTTTAGCATTTAAAAAGGCAGACTGAGTCTCTCTTTTCAGTATGCCTTCCAGATGACTACCTCGCTGCATCAAATACTGGCATTTTACTTATTTCTGCAGTACAAAGAGCTATGAAAAGCCTCAGATGGGCTTGTTATCAACTGAAATAATGAAACAGGCATGCATCTTCAATGCTGCTTTCAGGTCTGCTAATGTGATTACTATTAAATGAAATAAATTAATCCCTAAACACACAAAAAAGCATTCTACTCAGTAGGAAGCAGTCATAGGGAAATAAAGGGTTTTCATACTGTCTTCAAAACGTTCTTCACGGTGGATATTAAACAATGCTTTACAATTCAACATGGAAAATGATGCAGATGAAATGTTAAGTAAAAACCAGCTGTCGTTACATATAGTCGAATCAAAATTGGGTTCAAAACGTGACCAATTCTGCAGTGTGCTACGAAAAACTGTAAGAAACAACCGTTAATTTTAGTTCAGAATAAAATGCATACTAGAAAGTGTTCATAAGTATTTACAAATCAATTATTAATAGCCAATGAATGCAATAAAAGTTATCCAATCCAAAAGCAATCCATTTTTTGCTCTGAATAACATTTAGAGAACCAAAGATAACTTTCACAAAGAATTTTGTCTGTGACTAGTAAAATAAAACATTCCTTAAAACTGAATGCCATTAGAGCTTTAAACAACAATCCACTCAACTTCATTTACTTAGTCTAACCATAAATTATATAAACATACTGAGAAGTAGTATCTCAAAACTCTAAGTAAAAAAAAAACTCACCTTCTTTTCCCACTAATTCATGACACTAAAGAAAATTTAAATAAATGGCAGTTCCAATCACAAGGTTCTATTAGCTTACATTATTACCAAAAAAACCCCCTGCTTACAGTGCCTTATTTTCCCCACTTCTCAGAACTTTTTCCGTTTTTATTCAAAGCAGAATATTAAACATGTTTCCATCAAACTGCATGTAACAAGAAATTCTTGGAATTATAACTATTTGTCCTTGCATTTGTATTGTATTTAGTATCGTGCATTCAATATCGGTCACCCATAAACGCATGTGAACTCGAAAGTATGGCTCTGTCTGCCATGGTATTTTATGCAGGCAGTTTCTACAAAAACTGTGTAAAAACATTACTGTGCACATTTATAGAAACTAGCTTACGAATGAGAAACACGTCAGCTTGGAGTTTAGTTTGACTCTTAAAACCAAGACCGTGACATACTTCAGGAATGTCTCCACTCTCCATCGGTTCTGGTTCCAAATCCTCACTAATGTGCCTCCGAGAGCGAAACCGTCTGTGGGCTGCTTCTTGGTTGATCTGCCTGATGTTGTTGTCTGAATCCGAGCCCACATCACTGGGTAGTGGGGACGTGAAAGAACGCGAAGGAGGGAAGAGCAAGAAAATAACGAATGTTAACTTAAAACATTTACTTTGTCCACTGTTTTCAAAATCTCATGTTATCCTTTGGATTATAATACAACATGGACTATTCTTGCATACGTCAGGCTTCATAAAGAGCAGGCAGTCGAGCCCTTTAATCTAAAGTAAGTAAAACCTGGAGCACTTCACAGAACTCAAGGGAGTCATGCTGATACTGGAAATTAACACTCTTTATCCATCAAAGCTGGCGGAGCAGAAGTGGAAGTCCACATGCAAATATACTAACCCTCCACTACCGATCATTTCCTGTGATAACCAGAATCATTCCAGATTTTACTTTTCCTTCAACCTTTACGTCTACAGGAGCACTCCTTCACTCTGGTATTCCTTCCAAGGTGGGTACCAAGACATCATCTTGCTGAGGAAGCAGGCCTGAGGGGAATGGTCTTTCAATACAGCTACTGCAAGTTATCTAATGTGACCACCGGAAAAGATCCCCAATGCAAAGGAGAACTGCTCTTTTCAGGAGTTCCTCTGAAAATTTCCCCACAGAGTTCCCTGACGTGCCTGCACGCCAAAGGATACCTTCAGGTGCACACGTAACTCACACTGCAAACAAGAACTGCACGAGGGTTGTCAAATACATATCAAAAGGGGATATGCGAGCAAAGCTCTTGTTTGTGGCGATTACGATTCATATTTACTGCTTTCATAAATATGACCTTTGTAAGGAAGGTTAAGGAAGAATTAAAAACAATCTTTGTTTTCATAAAGCTGAATTGTGAGGGAAGAGTCTAAACAAATAAAAAACCCTAAACTTTTCAACTTCCTGTTATTTTTCCAAACAACCAACAACGTTCAGTAAAAGAGGCCACAAATCTTGTTTCATATACTATACGTTGTAACTCTTTTCACCTGGAGCACTCCATGCAGCAAGTTAACAGTCTTACTCCTGAATCCCCACAGCCAGGAGAAGCCTGTCAAGGTGCAGTGTCCAACGTAGGATTTTCAAGTCACCTTACATTTAATAAGGATTTTCTTACTGTTCCCATTCTATCAAACAAGACACTTAAGCAACAAGGAGAGGTCATCTCCATGGGCCTGATCCCAGCATCACGAAGATAACATGTCCTTTGACTTCAGTGGAATTTGGACAGACTGTGTTGTTTTAGAGGTTTTTTTTAAGTGGAATTAACAAATATGTTTTATTTTGAATTTCTAATACTAATCACAACTATATTGCTTCTAGCCTTCCCTCCAGTTAGCGAACCCCACGATTCATGTGTCAGTAAACCCTGAATTTGTCAGAATAGTAATGCTTGTCTGAAAAAAAAAAAACCCACTACTCTTACTGATAATTTTGCACACCCCCACTAATTACTGCATTATGCCGCCATTTACATTAAACTTGGTCGATGCCACTGAGTAGTCCTGTTGTTATGGTTGACGTAGTAAGTCCGTCCCAGGTTGTCCACCTTTTCTTCCCAGCCAGGAGGCAGCGGAGGAGGTGGTAACTCCTCCTGACGTTGAGACGCGGAGTCACTGGAATCAACCACATCCCATCCATGCTTAGAAATGGGAAGAAGAAAAAAAAAGATTATAAAGTTTGACAAGTTACGTCGCTGTTGCTTATGTTAGCGTATAGGTACAGATTCTGAAATTTTTCCAAAGTGAAGCGTTCATACAGAAATAGAATAAAGCCCACTGTCACACAGGGTGCCTCATTTCAACAACAAAAAACCTAAAATCCCATCGGTCTCTTACAACAGTGATGCCCAAACTTAGTTGGGTGAGTGCTCGTGGTGGCCCGGGGCAGATTCCCAACCACGAAGCCAAACAGAAACAACTGGTAAACGTGGAACTCCCGACGCAGCCTTTTCCTCAGGGAGGGTAATCGTTTGCTCTCATTTCTCTTTCCCAGCTGCTATTTGCCTAAGACATATATGAACTTATTCCCTTCGCCACCTCCACACAACCCTTCTATCAAATTTAACGGAAGCTGGCCAAAAGGTGTTGAAGTTACCGACAGCAGTTAAAAACATGCAAAAAAAAACAAAACAAAAGCAGGCCAAAACACAGGCACACAGATCACTCCAACACACTTTTTCTTAGAAAGCTTAGAAAAAAAACTCTCTCCTAAAATTAATGTTATTTTAAAAGCATTATATAGCTTTCAATACAAAAAAGTATATTGCATGTGTGTTTCCTAAGTGCTTCCCAGTAGATTTTAACATGCTAACCTACCTGAACGCAAACTGACACCTAACTGCCATTTCGGGCTCTTTCTAGGTCAACTTTCATCCCCTAGGTAAGACTGTACAGGCAAAAATTTCCAGCCTACAGTAATTCAGGTAGAGGTGAGAATATTTTTTTCCCTCTGCTCTGCAAAATTAAATGTGCCAAATTAAATAACGGCTGTAAGTGTTTTGATTAACTGAAGCCTAAAAGCATTTCACCACTACCGACTAACAGGAGACGCCGTTTCCACAGGACATTGTCAGAGCTTTGTGGCATTATCTTATAGGAGTCAGGAGGATCTTTTGAAAGTCATAAAAATGTACTTTTGACACCAAAACACACACTAAACAATGTAGCAGAACCTCTAAAATTCCTGATACTTCAAGTAACAAAGATAATTCAGGTTACTTTTAGAAATTTCTTAATTTACATGAATGCTAGATTTAGATATTTTTGCTGTTTGAATGTCTGTGTGTGTGACTACATATAACTTTGACATATACCTCTGTATTTACATATATATATAAAACATAAAATTATTTTATATACACACACACTTCTTTTCATACGTGATGAGAGAGCAAAAGTCATTGTTTGTGAGTCTGTAAACTCTTGTCTTCAGAGCAACAACAGTGGCGGGACCCTGCCGCGAGATCCAGAGGAAGCTTAGTACCGGCTGGGTGATGAACCTGAGGTGCTGTTTTAATGCGCGCAGCTCAAGAACCGACTCAGAAACAGCCAGTTGTGCGCGCACCAGGGTCTGGGCAGACCTTTGGGAAGGCAAGCTCATCAGACGCTCGAGAGCCGAGCCTTCCTCCTCCTGCTAGAGGTGACTGCTGCAGGCTGCTCGCACCTGCAGCAAGCTTGGGCTCACATCCACTCTGTCAGTCCCAACTGCCGCTAATCCCTAAAACGGAGGACAGCTGAGGGAGCGCTGAGACTTTTTAAACATTTGGTTTGCAGCACAAGGTAACTGCGCAGCAACTGCTGTGCCTGCACGAGCTTTATGCTCCTGAAGTCAGCCCCAACAAGGAAATAAAGGAAAACGCATCGCAGCAGCCAATTCGAAATGGACTTTTGAGAAGAGGTACTTCTTCGCCTAACCCAGATCATCATGCTCGTGTCAGACATGAATCGCTCGGGTAGATTTTCTGCATTCTTCTGTCCACTTTGCATGACTTACAAGGCCTTGAGAATTTTCATGAAATGGAAAAAACTCGTAACTGAGTCAAGTGGACTTCAGAACTCATTGTGGCACTTAAAATATCTGAAAACACGAGCTTACAGTTAAACGAAAAAAGAAAAAAAGCAAGCAGAAGAATAAGCTTATACCAGTGTTTTATCTTTCAAAGTACAACTTTTTCCACAATTATATTTGAACCTTTAATGCCTCCATCTCCCCACGTATAACAACGATACAAAGAAGTCAAGGAAACTAGTCCACTCCTCATTAAGTGCCTTACCTCTGATTCCTCCCTTTGATCATTATTTTCTTCCTCTTGGCCACCATTTTTGGGCATATAAGCCATCTTCAGCCTCAAGAAACCCTTTACACGAGATTTGTGGCTAGAAGGCAAGGAGGTACGTATCACTCAACAGCCTTTTAATAACTGCAAATAATAAACCTTGAATTAAGAAACGTTTTTACATTAAAAGCCCCTCCCCCTCACCTTCTTGGTCTGAGAAGGAAATCCTTAAATGTGTATGGCCTTTCCATGGTCGGGTCTTCAGTCTGTAAGCATTTAAGAAAACGGCAAATTAAAGGGCTTGCCCACACGTTCAGAGACACGTAAACAACATTCACAGCACAGACGCAGTAGAAACGCCAGAGGAAACGCTTTGTTTAGATAACAGAGTTACTGCAGACAGCCCTCTACCAGCAAGAGCTGCCATTAGCAAATGTTAAACGCAGAGTGGCGTAACAGGTCCGCTAGATGTCACTGCGAATATCAGCAACAGGCTGCACCCGTTGTCCTTCGTAGTAGCGCCCGCGAATATTTACAATTCAGAAAAAGGTGGAAAAGACCCACTAAACCAACTCTTCCAGCTTTCTCCAGTCACCCAACGGCAGCCTCAGTATCGAAGCAGTATTTTTCCAGCACGTTAGGGAGAGATTAAATCAAACGCACTTTTATTTCAAAGCAGTTGAGACTTTCAAAAACAGTGAAGACTCAAGTCCTTTGTGACGCTGGTAAGTACTATTAACAGGCTGACAGATTACAACTTCTGATTTCCATTTAATTACAGGACTCATACAGCCTTAATCCTCGAAAACTGTCTGTTCCGAGAGAACTTCCCCTCTCACTCATCACGGTGAGTCACAGCCTCCGCGGCTGTGGTCAAGGACGTCCTAGGAACCAAACTCGACGCTGATAAAAGAGAAGGTAAACTCGCGAATCAGATCTTCAGGCACAGCCTTCATCTCGGGGGTTTCGCCTGGTTCTTCCTCTACGCTGCCCGACTGTGCGGCCGCGGCGCCCTACGCGCTCCAGCACGACCTGAGATCCAGTGCCTCCAACCTACGCCAAACTCATCTCAAAAGGAGCGCGCAAAGCTAGCAGGTCCTTCTCAGGACGAACGCTGCTCCCACCCGCTAAAAGCCGACGGCGTCTCCGTGGACCCCCTCCCAGCCCTGCCTTCGCGAGCAGGAGCACGGGCTCAGGCCAGCCCCCTGACTACACCTTTCTGAACACGGAGTAACCGTTGTCCCAGGTTATTATCCACTAAAAACATTACCGTCTTCCGCATTTCAAAGACACCCAACAAGAATTTCAGAGTGAATCCTAACTAATTCCATCAGCTCTTAGATCAGGCACCGCACAGACGCTCATCCCACCGAACGAGCCCTCTCCCTGCCAGCCGTTTCCTGCGTCGCGTTTCCACTCGGTCGGTGCGAGGCGGACTTCCCATTTTCCCAGAGAAATAGGTGATTTTAAGCATACCAACAGGACTTTTAAAGCACGCGTGGTCATGAAGCGTTGTTTTTAGTACTACCATCTGTGAGTCAGGCAGATAAAGGGTAATATTTTAGCCAGATTTTGCAGGTAGCAAAACTGTATTAGGGCAGAAGGAGGATTTTGCCGAACATATCAGCAGCGCAGCTGGAATGAGAAAGCAAACGTTTGTTTAAAAATACACCCTGAAGTCTCTCATTAAGGCCCTGAAGGGACGAATGAGCAAAATATGTATTAGACCCTAAAGAAAGGCATTATGCAACACACTTCCCTGAGCATCAAATTAGTGCACACACCTGAGTTAAGTGTCCCGTAATCAGCTCCTCGTTAGAGAGCGCGGGACCTCACCCCCAGCAGGTAACCCCGCGTGGGGACGCTGCTGGGCCAGCTCTGAGACCGCAGCAGCAGCTTCCCCAGGGGAAATTTTGGAGAAAAAAGTGGCTTCTGGAGCTGAAGAAGTAATCTGTGAACATGGAGGGTGAGAATCCCAAGGGATTGCCTGGGAATCACCTTCCCTTTCCAGCGCGCCCCAGCGGAAGGAGATGGGGAGCTCTGGGCTGCAAAACTTTGCCCTTTCAGCACACTAGTTGCGCCAGGAAATTTTACGGTCTTGGATTTTTCTACGTAAAGACAGCAGGAAGCTTTAAAATGATTCAAAAAATATTCTTATCGTTCTGTTGCTTAAACAGGAGCTAGAAAGAGACGCAGGCGTGACCACGTGCTGGGTAAGCCCCAGTGAGAGAGCAGAGCAGTCGCCTTCCGACAGAACATGGAGGAACCCGGAAAGCTGCTAATTCCTCAAAGCAACTCGCACCGGGCGCGCGACACGCCTGCAGCTCTGCCTCAACTCTTGCTGCTGCTTTTTAATTGAAAGTGTAAAGTTTACTAAAAAGGATCCTACCTGGGTCTGCGAACTGCACATACACTATGTCTCTCATGACTTTCTATTTTCTAGCACAACGTTTGCAGGACAAATATAGCTTAATACTGGAGGGTTTTTTTAAACCATTATGTACATGCTATTTTGAGAGATAATGTATACACACACATTTCCTATGTATGGATACCTTCATATAAATAGAAATATACACACGTTGACAAAATAATCCCATGCAATACAGCACATATGATGAGAGGGGAGTGACCTCTCTTCATCAGAGTATGTTTTTGATCCTTCCATCATATTCTTCAACTACTGCAATTAATAGGCCAACAGCCATAATACCCACATCCAACTAAACATCAGTGTCAAAGTAATTATAAAGCATCCCACCCGCTTCCCCCACAATAAGGTCCATCAATAGCAAGAGGACAAATTCAGGAAGAAATAAAAGTACTCCTGCTAAAATTGACACTTTTATTTTGATGTAAACATCTTTCAGTACCTTCCATAATTACCATGTTCACACATCCCAATTCCAAAAAACCCTCCAACCTCACGGACGCTGTTAAGATGAACTTGTACAACATTTACTAAACATTAACTAAAAACAAATCTCTGTTTAGATAATGTTAGTCATCCAAAATATATAACAAAATACCACAAAATACGTATACCAAGTATTAAACAACTGATATATAAAAATGGAAAATTTTGTGAAATAGAAAGTGTATTTTTTGTTATTTGTAAAGTAAATGAAAAACAACTGTTGTGTTTCACACTGTGTCCCCCATGGCTTTCAAATTTAAATGCTTTCTTCAGTCATGCAATCAAGCTTTGAAGCCTAGGGTAGCAGTATAATGTGAGTACAAAAAGACAAAAGAAACTTTTTTTTTTGGCACAAACGTTTTCTGCAAAGCTCATTTTGGATTTTTCGACTAATAAGTGAAAAAACCTGAAAGGTCGTACAGTACTACTGGAATACTGAAACCGAAGCAAATGTATCCACGAAGTAAATTACCCATTTTTACTTCTTTTTGCAAACCGTCCTGGCGGCGGCGTGCTTTGCAGCGCAGGATGGCAGCACTATAGACGCATACTTCATACCTACTAAAGCAAGTTTTCTTAGCGAGGCAGAGAGCTTTGTCAGCCTAGGGCACGGACGGAGGCTAAGTTCAAACTTCACGCAGCCTGAACGGCCCGGGGGCCTTCTGCGTGCCAGCGCTCTGCTTCCTCTGATGGCAGGCTCTGCGTGAAATAATTCCTCGTGAAATACCCATCTTCATTATGCCTTTTAAAAACAAACTAGTTAAAAATCACTGACTTCATCGGACTAAGATTACGTTGAGGGCACTGTTCACTAGTCCCTGAACGTGGACTTTCCTCCTGGGAGCAGGTTATATGAAAAGCGGGATCTGTGAAAACCTCAAGATGGAGTTTTAAGATATAATTTCCAGAGAGCCAGAGCTCGGTCACTTCTCCGCTCTTGGAACGAAAGGAGGGCGACGCTGCCCGGGGTTAGACAGCGCGTGGAAAGGCCACTTAGTCGAGGCTGCAACTGCGCTTGCTGCGTTGCGGCTGTGCAGAATCCTGGGCGCCAGAAGGAAACCAAAGGGCAGCTGGAGTTTTACAGAATTACAGGAAAAGCTTCACACTTGGAATCCCTCCGTTTCTTAAGAAACCAAAAGAAATAAACAAAAAAAGCCCAACCCGTCTCCCAAATCAACCACCCCAAACGTTTAACTGTTGGCAGTAAAACGATCGGGCTCAGTGTCCCACATCATACCAGCTCAATTATTTGTAATTATCTGCTCTTGGAACTCTTACTGCTGGCAAAGAAACCAAGCACAGCTGAAATAAAGACTATGCCACCACGTTTCTGCAGCGTTCTGATTTTCCATGGATTCCCGAAGCTTGCTCAGCTCATCTGCACTCCCTGGCTTTCCCCACGGCAGGCTCCCTCTGACCCCACGTGTCCCCGTGAACTTGGTGTCCAGCAGCAGAGCACCTCCGCAGGTCACCTGACGGGACCATTCCCAAGAGCGACACCAGTCGCTACTGGGCCCGAGCGCCCCGTCCAGCAGCAGCAGCGCTGGTTTCAGCAGTTTCCTCCCTGGCTATCGGTACAACCCTTTGTGTGGCCATTTGATAAACCGGACCAAGGGGCTAGTCCGAGTTAAAAATAACCACCCCAAACTAACCAGCTATTTATAACCCCCACCAGCTCCCAGATCCAGGTCACCACGCGAGCAGCCGTCCCCGCGCAGCCAAGCAGGCAGCCAGCGGGTGGAGATGAACGGCCAGGGTCTGCCCCAGCTGACGCTCATTAAACTGCAGCCGGGGAGCCGGCGGCGTCAGGAGCCGTAAAACCTGGATTTATACCCACCGTACGCTCTGTCTGCTGTGCACGTAACCTCTCCCAGCGAGAGCTCGCAACGTAGTGGGATAACCCTGAACGACGCAGCCGTGGCGGCAGTCCCCGGCAGACGCACGCGCTCGCCGCAACGCTTCCCAGGGCGGACGCGTCCCGAGCCCTCCCATCCTCATGGCTCATTCACAGCCCAGTGGCCAAGCACGGAGTTGTCCTACCTCGCTAACCCAGGCTCGACCTACTCGTGCAAAATACGCCGAGGTACCGCTACAATGCTACGGTTTGATGTGTCAGGAAACATCTGTAACTAAACGATGACACTGAAAGCAGGCATTAGCCCAAATAGTCAAACTGTGTAACTTTAAAAAAAAAAAAAAAAAAAAAGTATCAGCTTTCCCTTTGTAAGTGGACTCCTTTTTTTCCATCCTTACATAATGTATTTGAACTGTTTAAAATTGGAAAAAAACTCTAAAACACTTACCTTATCACATAGCGAACCTCTTACAGGTTAACACCTCTTACAGAAATAAGCTATATTATACATATATAGATGTTAAATGCTATATGCATGCATATTAAAAACTATAAGGTATGCTCTGACAAGACAATAGATTTTACAATTATTATTATCAATAATGCCTAACATCAATGTCTAATGTTGCTACATGTGCAACGGCACTCATGAATATCACACTGTATTTGCATTATTCTGTCAGAGTTCTTTGGATAATATTTCCAATGAGTAATCAATACAATAATTGATTTTAATCAAATTTGCTGTGGTCAAAAATCAGTAATTTTTGTAACATTTTCAGATGGACTGAGTTTTCAGTAATTTCTTAAGAACCTCTCATGATGGTTCAGCAATTTCTCTGATACCAGTCTGTGGCTACTGGCTACAAGTTTGAAGTAATACAGAAAAAGAATCATCCCATAGCCTTAACAGTACATAATTTAGATGGACATAATTAGAAAGATGAGTAGGACAAAAAATGAAATAAAATAACGCTTTTTAACAAAAGTTCTGGAAAAAACGGAGTTTGTTCCAACTGTAAGGGAAAAGCAAGACAAGAAAGAAGCCAGGAGATGAGCAACACAACAGTCACAGATGGTGAGGTGAGAAATGACCAGTCCACGGGCCACACGTCATCCATCAACTGACTGAGATCAGCCAAGGATCTTAAGAAAGCATCAGGATGAGAAGTGGATGAAATCCTGGATGCTGAGAAATTTAACAGATGTCAGAAAATTCCTGTCTCTCTAGCCTCCGCAAGGGGAACAATTTCTCCAAAACTCCTGTGGCTGGTAGGGCTTTGTGTCTGGAAGACTCTTCTTTAAGCTTACAATGCTAACTCGGGAATGCTTGCTTTAAGAAAAATTAACTGCACTTCTTATGGGAATAAGTTCTGCCTAACATCAAAGTTTTTCACATCTGGTGATGGCAAAAGAGCACACTGCGACAAAAGCACTGCTTACCGGAAGATGACTAAGCGGCACATCCACTTGGCCTAGGAAGTCGTCTCTAGTCTGTTAAACAGAAAAAAACAGAAAGAGGAGTAATTTTACCTCTTAAGTACATCTTTAAATCAGCAAGAGCAAAAAAGTGATAAACAGCAATCTAGCCACAACGAAGCAAGAATAAAGATGGCTCAGGATCGTTATTTTAGCAATTACTGGTTTCTACCCTTTTATTTGTTGCACGTTATTTGTGGTGACAATTTACCCATTTCATTCAGCAGAGCACTTTCTGCGTCACTCCAGAACAGTTTCTTAGTCCACAGTGTGTACGTTAAACACTGAAGTATTTCTCCTAATGTTTCCTCTGACAACCTATGCATAATTCAATGCACCAAGTAAAGTAAATTATAGTCTCTACAGGCATTTCAAAAGTGAAGTGAAATTACCATTCACCATATAGTTGAAACATCCATGTTAAACCTTTTTGTTTTTGTTTTAAATAAGAGAATCTCATATAAAAACTTGATAACTCTTGGGAGTAGGAAAAAGTCCAACAGCCAACCAGGCAATATAGAACTGCATGAATTGTAAACATATTCCCCAAAATAAAAAAACTGTTTTTATCACTTTACCATGCAGAAATAAGTATCAGATTTAAAAAAAAAAAAAAAGGTAAAAAGAACGTTGTTCCAGTAATTTGGAACGCTTACTGCGTGAGCTACAGTTACACATCCCCGTAACTAGTCTGCTGAGCAATCCTTCAGTCCCCACCCGAAGACCTGAGGTGTGTTGCACGTCACACCTTGTTGGTTCCTCTCATACGCCGCTTCAGTTAAGGCACGTGGACGTGGTTATACCAACATGCAGGCCACAGAGTCACCACAAATTCACTTATGCAAGTTATATCTATATAAAGATGATGAATACTACTTTGCTGTATTTATTTGAATAAAAAGAAGAGATGAAAGTTCTTCACCATCAGTTTGATCACAGTTGGAGGGTCTGGAAAAAGTCACTTAATACACCTTGTCCCTCGTCTTCAACCCCAGGGGACGTGCACAGAAACAGTCATCCAAACACGCACCGGTTGTCAGTCTACCCTCAAGACTGGTAGGTTCACATAAGAACGAAACGGTAAAGCCTTTCGGGCAGGTAATATAGTTTTGTGTTTGTGTGATAAAATTACGAGTATTAAACACCTGAAAAGATCAAGCCCCTCAATACCATTTTTATCTGTTTACATCAGAGATTCAACAGTGACCAATACCATCTGAGAAGTCAAAATCTGCACTAAACTGTCAATGGCGATGACCACTGAATTAAGAAATTCAAAGGAAGAAATTCCTTTGTTGAGGAGCTCCTATTGTTGAAACCAACAGCTTCAGCTGCAAAGGAGATACCTTCTAGCAACAGCAGCTCCAGGAAAGGCATTCACAATTTTTATTGTCAGTGTGAATGCCATCTTGCAGGAATATAGTCGATTTTAATGCTATTTATAGGTTTAAAATGATGTTAAATATACTAATGAAGGACAAACGCTCTTCGAGAACAATGTTTACAATAAGAGCAACAAAAAACGTCAACTTCTTGCAGATATGCTTTTTTAAATCTAGTGGATCATCTAATCCTGCCCATGTTCTTAACAATGTTCTGCAAGAGAAATAATGGTACTATTAGAGATTGACTTTGTGTTCAGAACAAAAGACCTATTCCCACTGAAAATACAGTACTACAGGCAAAAGTGAAGTGCCTTATGGAAGTCTCAGCAACATGCAGAACTAATCAGCACTCAACTGGTGAGCTGAATGCAAGAAATGTAAGAGCTCATTACTAGCTTCCATAGTCATCTCGCCCTCAAAAATACGTGCATTTAGCTTTATGATTGAACTGCTTACAAAGCAGCACTAGATATCTAAAAATTATTTCTTAGCAAACTATTTTCTTAAATCAATTCTACTTTATTTTTAAAAGCAACTAGAAAATAAACGAGTCACACTTTTGATACCTTAAATGTGACAATAAAATGCAACTCCATGCTTCTGGAATACCGCTTGCATATTACTGTTCTACTGTAAACAGCTTCCAACAAAACTGATGGCCTGAACAATTCCAATTCCAAAATTCAAAGCAGAAATCTACTGCTTTTGTTTACCTTGCATATGTCAAGGGCAACGTGTGCTATCTACAACAGTAATCTGGAAAAACCAAGTCAGTTCGAATGCCAGTAGGGTTCTGCATCTCACAAGGGTCTCTCGGATGCGAGTTGCAGCAAAGCATTCTTTCAAAACACGCTGGTGTTAGCAAAATCAGAGCAGTTACATAAGCATCCTATCTGAATAAAGGCAATATTAACAAGCTGTAATACAGCTAAGGTGCACACCATGCAAAGTATAATCCAGAAAACAGGTAAATCTCTTCCATCAGGCAGGTCAATTAAAACCCAGAAGGTTTGGACACCCCTCCCAGGATCTGCTTCGGATTTTTAGAGCTCTGGACAAACCCAGCAGGTTATTGAATCCGGGTCTCCCACTGTTTCCATCTTCCTTTGTCAACTGCTTTGAGCTCCACGGATGTAAAGCACTACTGTGGATTTGTTTTCAAACTGCCCACCTGAATGCAGAAAATCTACTGACGTGCAGACTACAGAGAAAACCTGACCCTCCTTGTCCTTCAGTGATGCAATTAGTCCAATCAGATTTGCACCAGTTCTGTAGTATACAGCAAGCTCAAAGAGCTTCCCAACAGATTGACTGGCTTTAATAGACTGTATTAATCATGTAAAATCTTTAGAAAAAGGTGACAAGTATAACAGGACTGATGCTCCCAACACTTCTGTGCGGAAAGTTAAAAGATTTTTAGTTGTGGTAAATTAAAATATCTTACATCTCCACAGAAGGGCTAACAAGGAAAGCTTCCAGCAGGAGGAAAAAAACAATAATCAAACAAGATTTCTCAATAGCTCTCCTGTAGAGTTCGAAAGCCGTCTCCAAAGCTGCTCCAACCACCTGAACACCACGCTCCTTCGGAACCGCAACGGCGTTGCCTTGGCCTATCGTGTCCGCTTACTACATCAGCACAAGCGCACATCCTCTGATTTCTGACATTTCTTACGGCTATTTTTGAGGACTTAACAATGTTTGCCACTTCATCTTTTTACTTGCTGCCAATTAATAGAAAAATCATACACAGATCAATCCTGCATTTTCAGGCCCCTATATAGAGCATAAGACTGTACACTTCACTCAAGAAGCCAGAACGTTCATCAAATGAACTCTGGTAACGTTAGGTTATCCTATTTCTCCATCAGAGCTTTACCTTTATTACTGGGTATTTAAAGTGCTATTCATAACCCCATCAACTGAATTCCATACACATTTTTCAGTCACCAAGGTGGGAGAATAAAGAAAACTAGATTCGCACTTGGTATTCATTAATCTTCTAAGATACTAATTTTCAAAAAAAAATATATTGCGTTCATCAAAAATCAATTGTCTGTCCGGGAAAAAAAATTCTCCCAGATACTGTTTATGATACAGGATATCAGCCCTAGTGATTCCCAAATAACCTGCTGCTTATTTATAACCACACTATGCACAGAATTCCAGGAAGTGCATACTGCTGCTCTAAAGCCAAGTTTACATATTTGTCATAGCAGGGCATTAAGTTTAATATTAAAATCCATATTTTGTATGGTAGCACCATAAGAATGCTATTTTTGCTACAAAGATAGCATAAAGATCGCCAAAGCACGGACGCATGCTACTGTGCTGCATGCCCACACAGCAACATGAAAAGAAAAGCTGCAC